GAGACTGCGGAGCTCGGGGGCGGGGACCGCCTGGAGTCGGGGAGTGGGGACCGGGACCGGGAAGGGGGCCTGCACCGCCGAACCTGGACATTCCGAGGCGGAAGTGCCCCACGGTGGAGTGGGAAGGGGCGCCCGGTGATAGGACCTAGAGGTCCGGTGGCTCAGCTGGGTCCGGGGGTTCCAGAATCTCCGGAGTTAGGAGTCGGGGGCAGTGGGGCGGGGTGGGGCGAGAATCTGGAAAACAGGAAACTTCCCCTGGCTTTATGCCAAGGGCCGGTTGCTGGAGACCAGAGCCTGATGCCAGCCAGACAGGTGGCACCAGTTTGATGGGGCGGGGCCTCCAACCAACCATCAGGGTCCTGGGGTCCGGAGGGAAAATAAATAGCACCCCCACTCTTACCTCCAGTGTGGGCCCTCCTGAGGCTGACCTACCTGCCTTCCTGGCTGGGCGACCCTGGGCACACCCTTGCTCCCTCCCAACTTCCTCTTCTCCACCTGGTGGCTTCAAGCGGCTCTACTCTTCTTCTTCTTTTTTGTTTTGTTTTGTTTTTTGAGAGGCGGGGAGCAGCACAAGAATGCCAATTTATTCTGTTTGCACACATGAACACTAAATATCCCTGCAGGCCAACCCCCCCCCCCCCAAATTTAAACAACCATCACCTTATCTCAACGTGGGGACACCACCCCTCCATTAATAGTTGAGAAACCACCTCATATTCAGGCAGCTTTACTTTTGATCAGAATATGGAACCCCAGTCATCAGGGTTAGGCATGGAAGGAAGACTTTAGGAATTCCTTATGCTAATTCCTCCAGTTCTAGACCTCCAGTTCTAGAGCCTTCTGTGGTTCTAGTCCCACCCCAGAAGGGGCCCAATACAGTGGTGGACCCCATTGGAGGGAATGAGAGCAAAGGCCCCAGGGGTGCAGCCTGAGGAACTGAAACCGAAAGCAAGGCTAATCCCGTTAGCCTGCCACTCCCTGGGTGGGGCTGAGCTGCCTTCCACTCCCATTGGCGCCAGAGCTGGAATGATGCCACTTCTCTCTCATCGGTGTCTAACTTCAAAGCTGGGCAACAGGGCTGGTCCGGCAGGCGGGTGCCCTGGCCTGGCCATTGGTACACTGGGTGCCCCTGTCCCTGTGGACCCCAAGTGATCCTTAACCTGCCACCGGGACTGTTGTTGCCAGGATGCTGTGCGCACACTCAACAGCCTGCAGACCAATGCCAGCTACCTGGAGGAGGTGAAGCGCCGGCGGGGTGACCACCAGACACAGCTGGAAACCATGAAGCTGTACTTGGCACGGAGTGGGCTGCAGGTAAAGTGGGCAGGGCCTGTGACCACCCCCCCTTTTTCTTTGTCTGTGAGTCCTGTTGCTAAGTTGAAGACCTTGTCTTTCTGTTCCAGGTGGAGGACTTGGACCAGCTGAACATCATCCACGTTACTGGGACGAAGGGGAAGGTGAAGGACGGGATCCGGGGGAGGGAGAGCATATCCACTGGGTGGGGTGGGGACTGCCCAGACAAGAACTTTTCTTTCTAGGGCTCCACCTGTGCCTTCACTGAACGGATCCTCCGGAACTATGGCCTGAAGACGGGATTCTTTAGGTACTGAGGTGTGGAGGGATGTATCTGTCTCCCAGCTCTCTGGGGGGCTGTAGAACCAGCCTCAAATAAGTTTTTGAATAAAAACCCAGCCTTCAACCAGAGCCTATGTAACCTTGTGGGCCAACCCAAGGATGCACAGAGGGGCTGGGGCACAGGGAACTATCGAGGGACTCAGGAGAGGTGAGACACAGGCCAGTAACCTCAGCCTCACCTGGGCCTGGGAAGCTGAGCTGAAGGGCTGGGACTGTCTTGAGGGCAGGGGGAAGCCACAGGAGGGTTTTCAGCAGGACAGTGACACGATCAGATGTGTGTTTCTGACAGACAGTTCTGGCGGGGGTCGGGGGGAGGCCTGGGGGGCTCCAGCAGGGAGTCTTGATGACCTCAGGTCTCCCGGCAGCTCTCCCCACCTGGTGCAGGTGCGCGAGCGGATCCGCATCAATGGGCAGCCCATCAGCCCCGAGCACTTCACCAAGCACTTCTGGCGCCTCTACCATCGGCTGGAGGAGACCAAGGTGTCCATACAGCAGGGCTGGTGGGGGGACAGAAGCGGGCACTGGAGCAGGGGGAGGGACCCAGAAGGCACTGCACTCTCAGGACCCCACCTCCCCAGAGCAGAGGCTGCATGGACCTCAGGCTCTGGCGTGTTCCTATCCACAGGACAGCAGCAGCTGTGTCTCCATGCCTGCATACTTCCGCTTCCTCACACTCATGGCCTTCCATGTCTTCCTGCAAGAGAAGGTCTGTGTCCACTCCCTAGAGCCCTGTGTCTAAGGCCTTGGGGAGGGGAATCTTAAGCAGGCTGGGGGCTCCCACGTGACCTCCAGGTGCCCTGTACCCCATGCCGTGCCCTCTGACCCTTTGCAGGTGGACCTGGCAGTGGTGGAAGTGGGTATCGGTGGCGCTTATGACTGCACCAACATAATCAGGTGAGGGCGGCTGCTTGTGGGGAGGGATGATGGTCTCTAGCCCAGGGTGGCCCAGGGCAGGGGCATCATGGCCCTTTGGTCTTCTGCAGGAAGCCTGTGGTATGTGGGGTCTCCTCTCTTGGCATCGACCACACTAGCCTTCTGGGGGACACGATGGAGAAGATCGCATGGCAGAAAGGGGGCATCTTCAAGGTGATTGGGCAGCCCCAGGGAGGGCGGGTACATAGGCCTGGCCCTTAGAGCTAAAGGAAGTGGGGCTAGGGCAAGGTCCTTGCTATCCTGACTCAGGTGAGGACTTGGGCATCAGTGGGGTCTGGGTTCTTGTCTCAGCTCTGCATGCGGCTGGAGCAAGTTGAGCCTCATTTCCAATCTTAGTCTCCCCATCAAGTGGTTCCCATCGGTACTATGGGGGAGGCTGAATGGGCTGCTCTGACCCAGGGATGCGGGGGCCAGAGATGAAGGTGGAGGACCCTCAGCAGCCCTGTCTCCTTCTCTCCGTCCTCCACAGCATGGCGTCCCTGCCTTCACCGTGCCCCAGCCTGATGGGCCCCTGGCAGTGCTGAGGGAGCGTGCTGAGCAGATCTCAGTGAGTGACTGGAAGTGCTGGGGAGCCGCTTCATCCTTTTGGGCCGCTGCTCACCCAGCCGGAGCACTCTGGGTTCTAGGAGCAGGGCTGGGTTCTTGCTGGTGGGGAAAGATGGAGGAGCTGACGACATCAGGAAGGGCCTCCTATCCAGAGAGGCAGCAGCAGCTCCTCTGACTCCTCTGCAGTGTCCCCTCTACCTGTGTCCACCGCTGGAAGCCCTGGAGGAAGGGGGGCCACCGTTGACCCTGGGCCTGGAGGGAGAGCACCAGCGGTCCAATGCCGCGTTGGCCTTGCAGCTGGCCCGCTGCTGGCTGCAGCGAAAGGACCACCTAGGTAAGTGGGCAGGGACCCGTGGAGCCTGCCTCTGAGGCTCCGAGAACACTCAGTCCCACACCGCCCTCCCTTGCCCCCAGGCACTGGGGAGCTGAAAGCGTCCAGGCCCAGCCTCCTGTGTCAGCTGCCTCTGGCACCCGTGTTCCAGCCCACATCCCACATGCGGATTGGTGAGTTAGACCCTCCTGCCCAGCCGGGTCCCTTCAGATGTTTCTCACTTTGCTCTTCGAGAGGTGGGGTCAACTCGATAATGGTGCCCAAGAGAAAGGACTCTGAAGTCAGTAAGCTTCCTTGACCTCGAGTTCACGAACTCTCTATGAGCCTCAGTTTCCCCACCTGCCAGATGAGATGAGTATAGGACCCACTGTGAGGTGACATCACCAAGGGACTGAGCCCAGAGCCTGTCGAGTATGAGATAAAGTGCCCAGCCAGTGGTAGCTGCTGTTACTGTCATCCTTGTCATCATCATCACAAGACCATGAGATTCTTAAGAACGGTGATATTTGTCAGGCTTCTCCCAAAGCTTTCAGCACATAGTAGGTGCTCATGGCTGTTAAACCCCTTCAGCAAATGGTTCCAGTGCCCCCACTGTGTGCCAGGCCCCATGTCGGGCCATGAAACAGCTCTGGGGCCGGGTAGATCCTGAATCACATCCCAGTCCCAAGACTCATGCTCTGTGACCTAATCTCTCTGCGCTAAGGGCTAATATGTGACAGTAGCCCCCCTGAGGGCTGCCTAGAAGAGGCAGCAGAATTGCTGATCCCTCTGGCACCGGTCATAGGCTCCTGGGCTGATCAGCTCCTTGGAGCGCCCAGACGGGTGGGGTGCGTGCTGTGGGGCGGGTTGTGTGCGAGTTGAAGAAGATGGGAGAGTCTGAAGAGCGGCCTTGCCCCGTCCCCCAGGGCTTCGGGACACGGAGTGGCTTGGCCGGACGCAGATACTGTGTCGCGGGCCCCTCACCTGGTACCTGGATGGCGCGCACACCTGCAGCAGCGTGCAGGCCTGCGTGCGCTGGTCCCGCCAGGCCAAGCACCGCCGCAAGAGGTGAGTGCCGGGTCCAGAGAGGCGGGGCCTCGGGGCAGGACGGGGCGGGGCCGGGCCAGTGGAGGGAGGATAGTTCCTGCGGGAAAGGTGGGTGGGAGGTGCGGCTATTCCCGTCTCCCCCTCGCCTCGCAGTGGGCCTGAGGTGCCTGAGGTGCGCGTCCTGCTCTTCAACTCCACGGGTGACCGGGACCCGGCGCCCCTGCTGAAGCTGTTGCGGGTGAGAGGCTGGCGGGTGGTTGGGCGGTAGGCAGCCCGGCCCTGTTCTGACCATGTGACACCCACATCCGGTGGTGGCTTCACCCTGAGCCTCGTTTCCTCCATTGTAGCCTGGGGCTAATCCCTGAATTGGAGCCTGCTTAGTAGCTAGGTGACCTTACGCTGTACCCCGCCCCCAGCTTCTGTTCCCCCCTCTGTACAATGGGCTGTACTGCCCAGGCCACAGGCCAGGCAGGGGGTACTGGGGTAGCTGGGGGGACAGGGGGTGGCACTGAAGTGCTGTGGCTGGGTTTATGCAGCATCACCCCAGCGGAGGGCATCTCCAGAGATGGGTGTGTGTGGGGGGACTCCCTGTGCTGTGGGGAAGACGGGGTGGGGGTGGGCATCCTCTCAGGACTCAGACACCAAGCTTTACCCTGGCCTTCTAGCCCTGCCAGTTTGACTATGCTGTTTTCTGCCCTAACCTGACGGAGGTGTCATCCACGGGCAACGCAGGTGAGAGGTGGCAGACGTGGTCCCTTGAGGTGGGCAGGGCGTGCAGGGCCCTGAGGTGGGCTGCTCTGCTGGTGACCGTGGGGGCTTCCAAACGGGAGGTCTGGGGTGGGAGCTGGGTTTGTCTCACTGTATAAATACCCTTTGATACATTCAGCACGTGGCTGCAAAACTAAAAAGGAATTATCGGGGAAAACATTTTCCAAAATGCAGGTTAAAACCTACGGATGGTCCTTGAAATCAGTTAGTGGGTCTCAACCAGCATTTTGTACTTTAAATGAAATCGAATGGAAAGTATCTGTGTATTTGCACAAAGTAAGGGCAGGTACTATTTTATGAAGATTCTGCTCCAGACATTAATATACACATATGTGAGTACTGGGTTGCCATTGTAAAATGTATTTTTTTTTACTATGGGTCCCATTAAAATTTTTTTGAAATAATATTATAAAAAATACAGCTCCCCAGGCCCCACATCAGACTGCCTGGGGAGAGTCTGGAGAGCCCAGGAACCAGCATTTCTGGAAAGGCTCATGCATGCCCTGGACGGCCCCTGTCCGGTGAAGGCAGAGAGGCGAGGGTGGGGAGATGTGCTCTGTGGGCAAAGCCCCAGCTTTGGAGCTCAACTGCCTGGCTTTGCTCGTCACCAGCTCTGAGCCACTGGGCAAGTCCCTGAACCTCAGTTTCCTCGTAGTGTCCCCTCTGAGGACTGACAGTGCATGGGAAAGGCCCTGACTTAAGCAGGTGTCCGCAGCGTGCTTGCCCTCCCCCCACCCGCCTCGCTGACGCGCCGTCCCTGTGTCCTGCAGACCAGCAGAACTTCATGGTGACCCTGGACCAGGTGTTGCTCCGCTGCTTGGAACACCAGCAGCACTGGAGCCGACTGGATGAGGAGGCGGCCAGCCCGGACCTCTGGAGCACCCCCAGCCCGGAGGCTGGTGGGCCGGCATCCCTGCTGCTGGCACCCCGCCTGCCCCACACCCACGGCACCAGCTCCCTCGTCTTCAGCTGCATCTCCCATGCTTTGCAGTGGATCAGCCAGGGCCGGGACCCTGACTTCCAGACACCCAGTTCCCCACGGGACCTTCTCGCCCACCCTGTGGCAAACAGCGGGGCCAGCGTGCTCCGTGAGGCTGCTGCCATCCACGTGCTGGTCACAGGAAGCCTGCACCTGGTGGGCGGCGTCCTGAAGCTGCTGGATCCCTCCCTGTCCCAGTAGCTGAGGCCGTGGGGTTGGAGGTGGGGCCTCCCACACCCGCCCTGAGTCTCTCCGTGAACTCCCACATCAGGTGCCTTTTGTTTTCTGCTTTCCTGATTCTGTCTGTCTGTCTAGACTGGCCCAGGGGCCTGGGCTCCGGCAGTGAAATAGATGGCTGGTGGGTGGGAGGTTGAGATCGGACATCCTGTCTCTGAGCTGAGCCTGTGGTGCCTTGGCCTCTCCTTCCTCCCTGCTGATATCGCGGGCGGGCGGGGGGGGGGGGATGAGAAGGGGGAAACGGTTCTCCTGGGGTAGCCGGCCCGGCTGTCCAGCCCAGCTCCCACCAGACTGCGTCCTGGCCAGGCCTAGGGTCCTGCCAGGTGTAGGTCGCTCGTTTCCCTCCCCTCAGTGGCTTTCTGGGGAAGGAGAGGGTCCCTGCCTGGGGCTCCGTGGGGACAGAGGGTGGCTGGATTAAATTAAAGTCTTTACTTTGAGTTTTTGACCTCTAGCTCCCTCAGCAGACAATAGGGGGATGGGGGCTGTGGTGGCACAGAAAATGGATTGTGTAGGACCCTGGCTGTGTGGCTGGGACAGGCCCCTCCCTTCTGAGCCTCAGTGGCCTGATGTTTGTCGACCACTGCTTTGCAGACCTCCCCACGGAGACCTTGTGACTGAGAATTCTCGTTCCCATTTTACAGACGAGGGAACTGTGGCTGGTGTACAGAAGCCATGGCACCTGCCCACAGTGAGCCAATAAGTGGCAGGTTCAGGATTTGAACCCAGAGCTGCCTCCCCCCATCATTTTAGGGGCCCCTTCCCTTCTCCCAGCCTAGCACTGGTTTCATGGTCTGATTTATTGGTAATGAGTATATCGGGGTGGGCCCAGGTCAGGCAGCCTGTCCACTCCTATCTGCTGCCTTCCTGATGGGCAAGGAGGGAGGGGGTCTCCATGTGACAGTTGCAGGAAGGAGCTAGGCTCCCCCGTTCCCAGGCTGGGCACTCCTAGGCTTCAATTCCCCTGCCCCCCAAAGTTGTGCCGGTCCAAAGCTGTGCTGCGGGGATCAGATCCTGGTGGTTAGGGCTGGTCATGGAGGAGGCACTTTTGGCCCGAGGAGGCTGGGCAGAGTCTTTTGAGTTCTCACCTCCTGCCCAGCCCAGGTCATCGAGGGCTGGATCCGTTCAGGATAACGGGGACTTGGGTGTCTACAACAATGTGGACATATAGGGCAGCGTTCTGTCTCTCTGTGGTCCTGGGCAGCCGTACCCCAGGCCCACGGAGCTTGAAGGTTCTGCAGGGTGGGGTGGGGGAACCCCAAGGTGTTCCAAGCTGGTGCCCCCGCTGGCAGCAGGCCTCTGAGAAAGAGGCAGAGGGCAGGGTCCATCCTTGGTCGAGTGGAAGGGTTGGGATCCTGGGGTGAGTTCATGATCAGTGGTTCCCAGCTGGTGGCTGCTCAGTCTCTCCGGCTGGGCCGGGGCTCCAGGCTGGGCACTACGCCATGCTGCTGGTGGAGCAGGGGGTGCTCTGGGTGCTCCCGATGCTGTGGTTGGTGCTACTGCTCTCTGAGGAGGCCGGGGCAGCCACTGCCACCACGGGCTCCCGCTTGCTGGGGGGACCTGGGAGCAGGGGCGGAGGTCAGGGCCCCGGCCTGGGCTCCCCACTCCCCCAGAGGCTTTGCTGGGCTCCCCCGGGTGGTGGTGGAGGGGTCCTGAGCACTCATGGAGGGGGCCTGGGATACTCACGTGTGTGCGAGTAGATATACCAGAGCGCAGCGGTGAGCAGGGCCCCGATGAGGAAGGCGCCAAAGGTGATGCCCAGCACAGCGGGCAGGACGAGGGTTTTGCCTGTGCAACCAAGGGAGGGACAGCTGGGTCAGCGCTGCTGCCCCCTCCCTGGCTCCCTGCTCCTGTACTGGCCAGGAGCACAGGTTTTGGTGTGAGTCCCAGCTCACCCACTGCCCTGACTTCTCTAGCAACCTCAGTCTCCTCATCTAGCAAATGGGTTCAACACACCCATGCGTGGCACTTAGCTGTGGTTGCTGTGACCATTTGCCAAGAGGGCCTATCCAGGCCTTTGGGGCCATGCCCTGCCTCCCAGTGCTGATGCAGATGCATTTTAGTGAGGCTGGCTGGCATCATCTGAGCAAAAAGTGGGGTCTGGGAGTCCAGAGCCCGTCCCTCCTCGCTGTGTAACCTTGGGTCCGGCCCTGCCCCCTCTGAGCCTGATACCCCGGTAGCAACAGGCAGATCAGCTCTGAGGCCTCTCTAGCTCTGCTCTTGAGTTTTCCAAGCCTCATTCCTTCCACACCTCTGACTCCTGTGTGATCGGGCCAGGCAGCCACCCCTTGGGCCTGAGTTCCTATCCATGTACTGGGGTTATCAGCCCTTGTCTCCTTGTTGTGAGCTGGGAGTGGGGCTCCATCCTGGCCTGGCCTGGGTACCCCCACATCTGCCTCCAGGGTCAGGGACTCTTCTGTCTGGTGGGGGCCTGGGTCCAGAGGGAACTAACAGAGGCTGGAGGGTGCTGGGCTGAAGGGCCATCCTCTGCACCGGGGGCTTTAAGGCGAGGCCAGCACCACCCCAGGGTGCCTTCTGTCCCCTGTCCCGTCCAGACCTGAGTCTGAAGGCCCCATCCCCCCAATGAGGTCAACCAGCCACCATGGGGTTAGGAGTCCTGTCCCACAGGGCGGTCAGGAGCGGAGGAGGCTGTCCATCCGGAAGATGCAGCTGTGGATCTGACTCCGGGCAGCTGGGGAGCCCTGGTCCTGCCCTCCCCCGGGGCTGCTCTCTCTCGGGTCCTCCCTCCTGTGAGCCTAGGCCCCCATCCCTCTGGGTCGTCTGTTGTGCCCCACTCTGACCTCAGCCACGAACCCCAGAGAGACCTGGGGAGAGCTCACCAGGCATGTCGGGACTGACGATGTTCAGGCGCATGGAGACGGTCCTGCGGACCTGGGGAAGGAAGAGAGCGGTGTGCGGCCCAGCCTCTGAGAGGCAGCCTTCGGTTTTACTCCCTGGCACCGGGCCCCAGTCCCAGCCCACCCTGGGCCTTGGCTTTGCATCCCATCCCACTACTTCCAGCCGGAGCCCTCGAGCCGGTCCTGGGAGATCTGTGCTGTGGGAGTGTGTTGGGGACAATCCCTGGCTGCTACTGGAATGTTTCACACAACCAGAGGCCCTCTGTGCGAAGGGCCTGAGAGGACTGTGTCCAGGCCGAGCGCCTGAGAGGAGACCCACTGGACGGTGAAGCGCTGTGACTAAGTGCAGAAAATCAGAAGGTTGTCTCCTCTCTGAACCCTCTCCCCCGAGGCCTCCTGTTCACTGAGATTACACTGGTGATCATGCTTCGTGGGTGGGTGGGTGGGTGACAGGGATGGTGGAAGGACTATGGACGAATGCCTGGGAGGGATAGTGGGTGGACGGGTGGATGAACGGACGGTTGCAGCTACATAGCCGACCAATGTTGCAGACACAGCAAAGTCATCAGAGGCTGTGGGGTTGCAGAAAGAGCACCCCTGAGAGCCAGGAGCCACCCTGACTGGCTCTGCCCCTCGCCACCTGGTCCCACATCCTCCTGGGCTGTGGTGTCCCTTCCTGAAACCCCCACACCCCAAAGCCACCCTTGACATTGGTCCTGGCCCAGGCCCCACTCACCAGGGATGAAGTCCCAAGACGCATGGCTACGGTGCAGCTGAGGGTGCCAGCCTTGGGCGTGGGCACCATGTAGCCACGGAGGAGGAAGCTGAAGCGCATGACACCATGGGGGCTGGCATCCAGCAGGCTCACACAGCTGCCCTTGGCTGCCTGGTTCTGGATGAGTTCCACGGTGTCTGCCTCAGGCTTCAAGTCCAGCTGGCAGCTGTCCAGTTTGGGCATGATCTCGGGGGTCGGCGGGGACATGCTCACCTGCGTAGGGAGGCAAGGGGTCAAGGCATGAGCGGTTACTCTTAACGCTTCACCCTGCCTGCTCTCATGAGATAAGCTAGATTCATTCTAGAGTTCCTGCCCCTGAGCCCCGATGGTGGGACCGTCGTGGGCCTGCCTGGAGGAGGCGGTGACATTCTACTCAGCGTCTCTGAGCTCTGCCTTTCCTATCTCTCCCCTCTGTCATGCTCCGTCTGGCTCCCTCCTGTCTCTGAAAAGTTGAATTCTCTTCTTCTCTGTACTAACGGTGGGAAGAAAGGTTCTGAGAAACCCCAGGAGTGGGCAGCCCTGGGTGGTCAAGTCCAGTACCTGCACAAAGCCCTGCTGCCCCAGCTCGATAGCATTGGAGGCCTGCAGGTACTGCGGGGTGAGGTAGAGGCCCAGCTGGAAGGAGAGGCTCTTCATGTCGATGCACTGCACTGCTTTCTGCGGGAGACGGAGGGAGATGGTCAGGCTGGGAGGCGCCCCCAGAGAGGGCGGGGGTGGGGATAGGAGCAGGGGTCATGGTCCAGAGAAGATGCCTGATCTTCACCCTCATCTTTAAAAAAACACACCAGCCTGGCTGGCTGGCTGGCTCAGCGGTTGAGCATCGACCTATGAACCAGGAGGTCACGGTTCGATTCCCGGTCAGGGCACATGCCCAGGTTGTGGGCTTGATCCCCAGTGTGGGACGTGCAGGAGGCAGCTGATCGATGATTCTCTCTCATCATTGATGTTTCTATCTCTCTCTCCCTCTCCCTTCCTCTCTGAAATCAATAAAAATATATTTAAAACAAAAAGCCCACACCAAACTAATATTAAGAATTCACTCTGCACCAGGCCTGTGTGAAATGCTTTCCCTGTGTCATCTCAGTGGCTGCTCATAGGCACCCCCACAGGGGGTCCTCTCTTACGCCACTGCTCACACACGTGACCTTGGGGCCCAAGGCCACACAGCCAATATATGCTAGAACCTGCTGACTCGCGTGGCTGAGAACTTAACCCTTGACAGTCCTGCTTCTGCTCTACAGAAGGGGAAGCTGAGCCCCGCTGAAGACACATGGCGTGCCAGGGTCAGGGCGAGTTCCCTGAGGCCTGCTCCCTCCTAGGCCTGGAGGGGACCCGGGACCTGGACCAGATGTTCGCACGGTGACCATCCATCTCACCCGCTGCAGTGATGAGCTTGACAGGAGGCTGACGACCACCTGCAGAGACAGAGCCACGAGCCGGTCAGCCAGAAATGACGGAGGACACCCCACCCACTTCACCGTTTTACGGAAGGGGAGGCGGAGCCAACCCTGGCTACCCGGGCCTTGTCTTCCTACTGAGCATCATGCCCCACTCTCCCCAAAGCCCCTCAGCCCAGAAGATCAAGGAGGTGCCTGCGGGGGGCACCCAGTAGGCCGCTCCGTTTCCTGCCCCAGCTCTCACCTCGTTGTTGACCACACTTTCTGTCACTTTCATGCCGCAGCTGGAGTAGGTGCTGTGCAAGACAAGCTGGTCGCCTCTGTCCTCAGCCTGGCAGCGGGGGTCCAAGAAGGTCAGGCTGCTGATGTCGCACTTCAGAGACTAGGCCAGGGTTGGGGGACACCGTCAGGAG